GTCTCAACCGGTTTGGACACTCCACCGGATCCAGAGATACACCGAGGACCATTAACACTCTCCCAACTTTGCAAACATTCAACAGGAGAGAATTTTTCAGTCTTAGTCTTCAAAACCCAACGGCTCTTTGTAACTGTACCCGAAACACGTCCCGTGCTCCCACTGTCACAGAATCCCCTGAATGGTTTAGACTTTCGAACTCGTTCAGCTAACATCCCTTTGGGTTCAGACTTCATGTTTGCAAAATGAAGTCTCTTAGCACTAGATTTAGCGAACCATATTTTGTCTTGCTTAACAGGGACGGTCATACTTCCCTCAGCAGGTACCTCAACCATATACAATGACCCACACTTCATACCACGAGCAATCACCAGATCACCATTGACCACCCTCAATTTACCACTACCAAACCTTACTTCCAGTCCTTGTTTATCCAGCTGACCAACATAAATCAATTTCTTCTTCAGCTCCGGAATCACCCTGACATCCTTCAGGCTCCATGTAGTTCCTAATGAAGTAACCAAATCAATATCTCCCATGCCCGTTACCTGAAGCATCTCGTCATTTGCCAAACGTACCTTTCCAAAATCTCCTTCTTTCAAATTCACCATCGTTTCCCCGTTGTCCATGGCGTGAAACGAAGCCCCTGAATCCATGACCCAAGAGTCTACAGAACTTTCCATACTGAGTATCAATGCATCATCCTCAGACACACTCTCAGCACCAGCAATGTTCAATTCTTTCTTTGGACATTGACTCTTAACATGTCCCACTTCTTGACAGTTCCAGCATTTCACATTCTTCAAAGTTCTAGAAGAACTTTTTCCCCGACTCCCACTGCTCCTGCTATTCCCTCTACCTCTTCCGACATTTAATAAATCAGAAGAGGAAGATCCACCTTGATTCTTGCGTCTGATATCCTCGCCTAGAACCAAATCTCTAACCCCTTCAAAAGTCATACCACTGGTCCCCACAGAACTCGTAACAGCAGTAACTGTTCCGGACCAGCTATCAGGTAGAGAAGCTAGTAGCAGCGAAGCTTGAGTCTCATTATCAAATTTAATTCCCACAGATGATAATCTGGACAGAATTGAATTTAGATTATTAATGTGAACCGTAACTGAGCCTTCCTCATTCATCCTTGTAGTGAACAACTCCTTCATCAAGAACACCTTGTTAGCCGCCGATGGTTTCTCATACATATTTGACAGAGCCTCCATCATACCACGCGCCGTGGTTTCATTCATGATGTTGAAAGCAACGCTCTTCGTCAATGACAATGTAATAACCGCCTTGGCTTTCTTGTCCTTTGAGTTCCACGCATCTTCAAAAGCTTTTTCCATTTTCTCCGGTTTGTCTCCGAGTACCATGTCCAAGTCTTTCTGACATAGCAATGCTTCTAATTGCATTTTCCACCAGCTAAAATCAGAACCATTGAACCTTTCGATTATAATCTTGTCTTCAGCCATTACGACAAACAAGATACAAATCAGGTACACTCGTGCGTGATAAAAAAAACGATCGTACCCTCCAAACCTCGCTAACCAGTCTCTGATACCAGTTGTTAGGAATCGGACCGGGTAAACGCAGCGGAAACACACTGTCACACACTCGCAAACTCACGAAGGAAATAAAGCAAGAAGGAACACAAGGATTTTACGTGGTTCGGATTCGGTGTAAATCCTACGTCCACGGGCTGCAACTAGATTTTCTTATTAACTCAATAAGATTACAATTTATAACTCTACAAGTTATATTTGATGCACACATACAAAGGGTTACATCGCACATATATATATAGGAGAGAGAACCGTACTTTCTTTTGTTTACACAAATTGTCGTCCAAAATTTTCCTTCAATTCACATATTGTGAATATAATATTGCGGCCGTCCATTACCGACCATGCAAAAAATGCGTCCAATAATAAACAATTGATTTGCCGACATGTACGTCCATTCAATATTAAACAATTGAATTGTTTAATAATTGTCAAGTTATATTTATGGCCCTTGAACTCTTAGGAACTTGTCAATTTGTTCAAGACTCCATAAATCTTAACAGTCCATGGGCCAGTGGGCCATGCTTACAGTTAAATTTATTAAATAATTAACAACTAGAAGTTGATTAAATTTGATTAAATCTCCGGTTTATCTTCTTTTCTCTGAATCTATTGGAAGAGAAGAAATGAAACATAAGAAGGAAATAAAAGTGAAAAACCGATTCAAGGATTGTTGATTAAACATGATTATTGAAGAAATTGTGATTTGACCTATAACCTGGTGGGAATCCATGGAGACGGTGACATTTGTATTGAGAGTGGTCATTCTGTTTGCAATGAATATAGAACGATGACCGATTCTCAATGAAATTCTTGTAATTTGGATTACGTGATGTACGTGTTTTGTTATTATGAGTAGTGCTATTACTTTGCACATTAAAAGCCATTCCACTGGCGAATCAGAAGCTTGTGTCACACCAATATCTCTTTGTTGTTCTTTTTGTATGACTAGAGAAAAATATACGATTAACTAGTGAATTAGGTCCATAAGTAAGGCTGAACGGTGTACTCCCACGCATAGTGCAATGGAGCTTATGTGGCATTGATGGATGTGCGGTAACACTAGTGTTTTGTGTTGTTAGACCAATGAGTGTATTCCGTTGTTTTCATTACTTCAAAATAAAAATTACATAATTAAAATTAAATAACAAAACTAAAACGTAACAATAATTAAAATACTACATCACGTTGAATCGTCGTACATATCGTTGTCTGAGTGTCTGAATCCTCGTCGAAATGCATGTCTGAATCCGTATAGAAATCCGCAAACAAATTTTCATCGATGAGATTTACGTCGGTTAAATATGTTCCACTAAATCAATGCGGATGTTGTGATGTTGTATTATGGTCATGTACTTCTCTTTTGTTTTGCATTTTGCAATGTATTGTTGCTTACGACTATCTACTCATTCAAAGGATGACAATTTTTTGTTTTCATTGTAGTGACATATCACTTCACCTTCATCTTCTAAAATCATATTATGTAATACGATATACACATAAATTATGCTTTGTAATCTTTTGGGGACACATGACAGTATCAGGAGATTGAATATCTATGAACGTCTCTTATTGATACCAAATGCTCGTTCCACATTCACCCTGACTGCTTCTTGGGTTGTCTCAAACTTTAATTGTTTATCGTTGTTTGTTCATGTCAAGGATTTGACAAATATAGATAACTCATGATATATCCCATCAGTAGGATAGTACTAACAATTGTATGATATCACATTCGTTTGAAATGGCACATTATATGCCTTTCCAAGATCAATTTAATTTTTTGTTGTATATTATCACATAAGATATGGAAAATGTTTGGTAATTTGAAAAAAGGTTTGGTATTTTGAAAAAAAAAATTCAAATGTTTTTGGGAATCTAGACTTAGACCATCTCCATTTTTTCTCTATTTTCCATATTTTCTCCAAAAATAGAGTAAATAATGTTTCATTTTCAACCCTACTTCATTTTCACCCTATTTTCTATCACAAAAAGAATATTCCCTAGTATATTTCATTTTGCAACTTACATAAATTGTCAACTACACTCCTTTTAATAATTAGCTTTTAACAAATATATAATCTATTTTTTTCATTACAATAATATTAAATAAATTAGATTATATTTATAACACAGTTATAAATAAAATATTATACATGAATTCGATACATAAAAAATAAACTTTATATTTATGAGCCTTTGTATAATACGTTATCGTGTTCCAAAATTTTAATATTTATTTAAAATATTATATAAATTAGTTAGATAAAAAATATACTTTATATTTTTTATTAGTTAATATACCTAGTAAATAAAAATAAACTATAAATGTATAAATATATAAAAAGAAAGACCAAAACCGACAAGTGAAACTTCATCCCCATTTATGGAGAAATAAACAATATTAGTCTATATTTGGGGTAATACTATTCATATCTTCATAAATGAGGGAACAAATGGTGTAGGGTTGGAGTAGAATAAGAGAAGAAATTGGGTAAAAAGAGAGTTTGGGGATAGGCTGGAGATGTTCTTTGGGTTATTTCATTATCCGATTCTATTTTATAGTTGAGTTCCAATATTACTCACTAGATTTCCCGAGCCTAACGTACTATTTTGACATGTACTTGCAAATGAAGCCGAAGCTTAGGAGTTAGCAACTTGATATTAAAGAATGACATAACTTGTATAGTTTATTTAAACGTTTGTACATTGAATTGGACACCCTCATGTTTAAAATTGCTTACTCTTGGATTTTGTATTTATCAAATGAATGTTTGAGACCAAATTATGCAACTTATTTTAAAAATATTTTAAATATTCTATAAAGAATTACTATTTCTATTCGTCGTACAATATGAGTGTTTCTGTATGACCTTTGTATTATTGATATTTGTCATCTTGAGAGATATTGGTTTACATATTGAGTTGGTTTAATGAAGTATACAATAAATGTATCAACATAATGTTTGAAAGTAAATAATGAATCACTACATAGAAATAAAAAGATCAAAAAAATTAAGACATCTTTCATAGTTAGGTCAACAAATATTTTAAACACATATATACTGTTAGTGTATATATAATATCGGTGCAACACAATCATATATTTCTCTATATATCTTGGAGTAAAACAACGAGCTATACAACATGGTTTTATACGTTTCAACGAGCTTATTGATTTTTTTTTTGTTTAATTTTCTCAAATATAGTCTTTATTAATTATAAGAAAGTTCAATCTTTCCCGTGATATTGTGATTTTATATATTTCAGCTAACTTATTAATATGTTATCTTATAGTTTAACTTTTCAACTAATTACCAAACATAGCTTAATTACATGATCGGTACAAAAAAATTATTGGCTAGACCAACATTTGTGTAGTTGAATGATAGATACATGTGTCGTTCTAAAAGAAATGGTAGATACATGTAAGCATCACGATTCAAGGCATCAACAACACCATTACGTGGAGTTCTAAATTCCGCGTATGTAAGCGACAAATACATGTACAACATCACGGCATCAACAACACCGCCGCAAATAGAAAAAAATGGGTCAGGCATTTCGTCGAGCATCTGGAAGGATCCGTACGCCTGCTCCTCCATCATCATCATCTCAGCTGAATAAGCCACTTGATCGTAGCCAACCGGTGCCCCCTGTAAACAATAATCTACCTAGCGGTGGTAATGTTGACCCTAGCTCTGGTAAGTGAGTTTTTAAGTTAAATTCTTACTTGATCTCAAATGGAATCAACACTCACTTGGACATTGAGTAATTCTGAAAGTTTGTGCCTCAATACTGAACCTTGCCGATACTATAGAAAGCATTGTGAATGCGCCTGTTATACATTTACAATATTCGTTACAGAGAAGTAGCACATCGGTTTGTTAGGGTAGGGCAGGGTTGAGATTTTTATCACTTAGGGTTCTTCGTTCGTAAACTTTAACTAGATGGTTCTTAATGATTAAGCTTTTGGGGAAGATATAGTACTTTAAAGGGGATTGTTAAGCAGATAAAACAGCGCAAATAGGGTATCACAGTGTCATACTTTTCTCCCTTCTGTCTTTTTTCTGGGTTTTCGTAGGTGTTGTTTTCTTAGCTTAATAATGCTATCATTTTTTTGTTTGTAAGGCTGTAATTTGAGATACAAATTGACTAATGGCAGTAAATACTTTGTCAAATCCAGAGTTGATGAGATTTTGTTTTTAATTTGCATCTTTAGAACTTTGAAGCTTAACATATTACATGAGAATTCTATCATGTTTGAAGCTTATCTCTGACATTGTTTATGTAATTGATATGCTATTTCCTGAATTCCTGATGTATATTATGTCATTAGATGTTCCACCAAGAAACAGTGCTGATGATATAATTGAAGAACGTGACTCTCAATATGATGCCATGCTTAACAAGATGGTTGGCCGAATTCAAACAAAACCTGGAGGGAAACTGGAGACAGGTGAGGTGAGTTGACAAAACTTGTTGGATATATTGCTGTAGATCACTAGATCTCCTCTCAACCCATGCTTTTTCTTGGAATGTATTGTATATCAACATAATATTGCTTTTAGGATTGAAAACTTTCATTGCCTTCAACTTACACTACTAAGAGAAACGTAAAATACATCTAATGATGCATAAGATTCACATGAAATAGTTGATGGAGGAATAAGATCTGTATGCCTTATGCCAAAATATCATCCATATTTGTTTGATTTGTTCTTTGTATATAGATATGATTCTTTTGACTTGATGCAAAAAGTCAAGGAAATAAGACTTTCCCATTAAGTCCCGACCTTTAATAAAAATTTCCTCATTTATGTTAAAGAAAAAAAAACCTTGAAAATACTATTTATGCAGGCATATGTGGTGGACAAGTACAATAGACCAATGCCAAAGCTAAGAAACACAACTCCAGAATCGGGCAGATATGAACACAAACCAGCTGCCCCGGGCACTCTAAATGTAGGGCAGCTTCGCCACATCATCCTTTTATATCAAGGAAAAGCCGAAGACCATAATGGCCCTATGGATGTCAACCAAATAGCAAAAAGATACCGTTTAGATGTTTCTCAAGTTCAACGGGCTGTTCAGTTTCTTTCACTCCCCCCAGAATTTCTCAATAAACCAAAACGGGATCCAAGGTAACACTTTTTTTTTTTTTCTAGAAGATTATTGTACTTTCATGGGCGGATACATATATTAAATAAAAACTCAGAGAAACTTGGATTTTTGTTGTGGTTCTAATCGTTATGTAATGTTTTTGCTTGTTTTTTAATCGGATTTATGGTTCCATATACAAAATACAAAAACCTGTTTGGTTGATAATTTATTGTTTTATTATATTTCAAAGGCATGTTGTGGGAAATAGCAATGTATTTGTATTTTATCCGTGTTGGCAACGTTCTTATATTTTGGCTACCAATGTAAGAGTTTGTTGCATATTGTCATTATCGGTAAAAATGCAAGTAGGTTGCTATTATGGTGAGAAATGGCAAGTATGTTGCTATTATGGGTAAAAAATAAACTATATTTACAAGTTTTGAGTTACATATTGTTATTTATCGATTAAAAACGTGAGTACGTTGTTGTTATGGGTAAAGAAACGTAAGAAGTCTATTAAAAGATGTTGTCTCAAGTGATAAATAAAATGTTGGGTTTTCCAAAATTTGAGTTCTTGGACACAAAAAACAAGAATTAACGTCGTGCATGAAATGTTCAATTCATAATTGAACAAAAATTGTCTTATATTATTAGTATGTATATCAACGGCACCCATAAAATGGATAAGGATTAGTAAATGACATTTTTTTACGAAAGTTGCAGAATGGTCATATTCATATATGAGATGTTCATAAGGTGCCTCACCTTATGAAATCACTATAATGTATCGCAACTTTATAACTTCATCCGTCAAGAAGTCTAGAAGATGAACTTCAGAAGTTCAGAAAGCATATTTTGCCTTACTCAAAATTCATTCACTTATGTAAAGTTTTCCTTAGTCAATTTCATTCACTTATGTAAATTTGTCACTTTCGTCCATGATTTCCACCGTAAGGGGCTCTGCCCCTTAACCCTAGTCATTCCTCATATTTGGAATCAAACTATTCTTATATAAGTGTGTGCTCTGCACCATTCCACCGCACCACCTGACTACTTGACTAATTTATATCAGATCATAGTCTAGATCCTTCCAAGTCATTTGTATAATACCAATTAAATAAAATGACTCATGACATTAAAATCACGGTCTAGATCCCTCTAAGTCATTTGTATCATACAAATTAACTAAAATGAGCCGATTATGAAAACATATGCTTATATGAAAATTTTGAAACTGTTGAATTTAATTTTCTTATGTCATATATTCAAAATATTTGAAATCAAGGTGTTTTAAAAAGGGTTAATGTCATAAAAACCCTCAAGTTTACAAGGTTTTGTCGGTTTTGCCCAAAGTTGAAATTTATGTCCGTTTTTACCCAAACATTTTCGAAAAAATGTTCGATTTTACCCTTTTACTGGTGATAACAAGTTTTCCAGGTTACCATTATATTAAATTCGCAAAAAAACCCTTAATTTTACCTTTTTTTTGCGTTTTTACCCTTAAGTTTATAATTTTTATTACACTTTTACCCTAAGTATATTTTTTTCATAATATACATATTTATGCAGAAAAATCGTATTTATATACGAAAAAATATTTAATTAAATATTGTATTTATATTTTTTTTAATGTTATATATATATATATATATATATATATATATATATATATATATATATATATATATTTGTTTGTTTGTTTGTGTGTGTTTGTGTTTTTGCATGGTTATACCATTTAAAAAGATAAACAATATTTTTAGAATTATGAATATGTGTTTTATAGATATAGTTTTTAGAAGTATAAATACATATTTTTACATTTTTATATATTAATATGTATCTATACTTCTAAAAATATATTTATACTTAAAAAAAAACATATATCAAAATACATATTTACACTTCTAAAAATATATGTATATACTTATATAAACATGTTTATGAATGAACAAGTTTTTTTATTGATATGTATATTTTTAAATACATAAAAATATGTATTTGTAGTTCTAAAAAATATTAAATTGTTTTTTTTACATCTTAAATGGTTTATCCAAGAAAAAAAAATCCATACACACACACACACACACACACACACACACACACACATATATATATATATATATATATATATATATATATATAAAGAATTAACATAAAATGTAAATACAATATTTAATTAAATTTTTTTCGTTTATAAATATGATTTTTCTGCTTGAATACGTATAATATGAAAAAAAAATACATAGGGTAAAAGTGTTAAAAATTATAAACTTAAGGGTAAAAACGTAAAAAAACTGTAAACTTAAGGGTTTTTTTGCGAAGTTAATATAATGGTAACCTGTTATCACCGGTAAAAGGGTAAAACCGAACATTTTTTGAAAAATGTTAGGGTAAAAACGGACATAAAATTCAACTTTGGGCAAAACCGACAAAACCCTGAAAACTTGAGGGTTTTTATGACATTAGCCCTTTTAAAAACTTAAACCCTCAATCCACTTAAATACTTGAAAATAAAATATATACACTTTTTTTTTACACTTAGACTAGCAAATAAGAAACATCATATTTATAAAGTCATGTATCCTTTTCCATTAATGGCTGCATTTTAAAGTGTGACTAGATTTTAAAATGTGACTACGTTTTACGATCACATATGTAATTCCTTTTACTCATTTACCAAAAATATATTTTTCCAAAAAAAATTATTAAAAACTTAACTCCAACCTTCATCATTACATACCATCACATATATACTTAAAATGAATTTAGCTCTAATGTGATACTCCCTCCGTCCCATAGTTATTATTCACTTTTGACTTTTAAAGTCTTTAATCTTCAATTTTGACCTTAAATATTTTTATTTGTATTATAAATTACTTGATGAAACTTATAATAATGAAAAGACATTTATAACACAATTCATTCATATATTTTTCATCAAGTATTATATATCAAAAACCAAAATATTTAAGGTTAAAATTGAAGAATAAAGACTTCAAAAATTAAAAGTGGACAATAAATATAGAACAGAGACATACAATATTACATTACGGTCTCACAATATTACGTTACCTATTACTAGTATATATTTGGGTTAATGACCTAGAAAGGTAACGAACTTTGGTCTTTGTCCACATTTAGGTAACCATGTTTTTTTCGTTCACATTTAACCATTAAACTTGTTTGAACTGTTCAAAATAGGGTAATATGACCGGTAATTAGCGGTATCATTACCCTATTATGAACAGGTCAAACAAGTTTACTGGTCAAATGTGTACGAAAAGAACATAGTTACCTAAATATGTACAAAAACCAAAGTTCATTACCTATTTTGGTAATATTGGGTTCTTTATGTTAAGTGCAAGTAGTCATAAGATCCATTGATGTGAAATCAAATTGGGTTGTTCGGTCTTGTGTATGAGCAGATGGTTAAGTCTTGGGTCAACCCAATTTAGGCCCAACTAGTTAGGGGCTAGGTTGTATACACTTAAGGGGTTAGGTTGTATGTGTTTTAAAGACCGAGCAACACAGTTTAGCCCATGACTAGCCGTGGCTAAACTAGGGTAGACCAAGCCTAACCTAATTGTTCATTGACTGTCGGAGCCTGATCCCAGGGCACACAGTCCCTAAGACGGTTCTTGTCTAGTATTACCAAAACGGGTAAGAAACTTTGGTTTTTGTCCGAATTTAGGTAACCATGTTTTTTTCGTATACATTTGACCAATAAACTTGTTTGACCTGTTCATAAGAGGGTAATATTACCGTAATTACCGGTCATATTACCCTATTTTGAACAGGTCAAACAAGTTCAATGGTCAAATGTGAACGAAAAAAACATGGTTACCTAAATGTGGACAAAGACAAAAGTTCGTTACCTTTCTATGTCATTATCTTTTTTCCAAAAAAATCAAGTTTTTGCTAGCGCTCACGTCCACTTTTTTTTTTCCATGGGTCAAAATTTCAGGTTTTGACTAACCCACATACCCCTGGATTTGGACCAATACCCGCCCCATCTAACATCCTTTTCTTTTATATATGTAGATCAATGTTTTCAATTTATTACAGTTTTAACCCAACAATCACTTATTTTTAAGAATTAATTTTAGCCCAGCATTCAATTATAACGAATTTGGTCCAACTTTTTTTTTAAAAATTTTGTCTAACTTTATTTTACAACTTCGTTTACATATTTTTTATATAATTTCATTCAAACATTTTATACACAAATTTCCCAAGTTTTTTCTAATTTTACTTTAATTTTTTTATAACTTAATGATTTTTATACTTTTTTTTAAAAAAAAATTAACACATTTTGTATAACCTTTCTTTTACGAATTCATTTTTATAAAAATATATTTTTATTATAATTAAGCCTTCTACAACTTTATAGCATAATTTTTTTATGATTTTCCAATTTTTACATATTTATTTTTATACGTGATTTTTTAAATAATTTTTAGTTTTTACAAATTACATTGTGCATTATATTTACCAATTATAAATACATAGATTTTCTAGAGTTGTGATATGGTAGTTTGATACAAGTTTATAAAAATATAAAACTTTTACAACTTTATAGCATAACGTTTTTATGATTTTCCATTTTTTACATATTTATATTTATACGTGTTTTTTTAATTTTATTTTAGTTTTTACAAATTACATTGTAAACAATATCTTAACATATACTAAAACAGAAACCTTATGACATCATTTTAAATAATCTGAACTCTTGATTGTATTTCAATCATATGTTTTCCACCCATAAATCTAATTGTTGACACCATCTTTCCTAAATGGAATGTATTTAATTCCAATAAAAGTTTTCCATATTTTAAATCTTGAATTTACGGTGATAAAGGTTTTAATATGGTCAACTTTAAAAACATATTACTAAAAACTCATTTCAGTTAAGGCATTAAATATCAACCATTAATATAAATTCGTTTATATTAGTAAACCATTAATATAAAATTCATTTTTTATTAGAAAACCATTAATACCAAAAAATCAAATTTAAATTATCATATACGATTCATCCTTGAATCCGCAGCTCACATTTATTTTTAATCGTTGTTTTTCTTCAAACATT